TAGTATTATTTTGCTCGATGCGCCCTCTTGTGGCCTCAGGAGAGAAGCCAAAAGCTTTTCTTCACCCTAACTGAAATCATGCATTTTAAATTCGAATATAATTTGAATTTTGATAGTATTTAAGTACAAAATTCGAATTTAGTTTTTCAGCCATTTTGACAGCCCTAGCTGGAATCACAGAATCCAATCATAAATAATGAAATTTACAATATAACGTGTCTCTTTGTGAATGAGCTGCTCAGCTACTGCACAACAACTGCACATACTCAAACACGATTGATGCTTCTGCTGTCTCACTATATGAGGACATGAACACATGAACTTCCATCTCCAGAGCTTCTCTGAGAGTCACTTTACAAGCTTTTCACCATTTTATTGGATTACAAAAAAAACTATTGTTAGATACACAGAAACTCAAAGGTCTTCACTACAACTTGCCAAAATAGAAGTTTGGTTTGATCTGAAGAAATTATGACAGAAATATAGCCTACTCTTGCACAGAAAAATTTACTTCAAAGTAATAACAACGACAACAGTAATAGAGTTATTAAAAAACTTAAGGAATATAAAATGATTTTTCATCCATGTTTTAACTTCAACTAAAAACCTCTTGTGCAGCACGGTGTCAAAAAAAAATGAAAGGAACTGTTCAAATTTAATTGTATTAATAAATCATAAAACAGAATCCAGAAAAGTTTAATCAGAAAACACAAAAATTTAAAAATACTAAAATTGGGGAAAAATAAAACTGATTTAATAGAGCCCTAAATACAGATATTAAATGAGATTTATGACATCATTATTCACCTTAGGAAAACATTAGGTTTTATGGACGAATACATGTGCTGGTTAAACTTTACAATCTGTGAATTGAGCTTAAATGCTCCGATTTATAAACCCAGTGGGCTAAGCTTCTACACAACAAACTCACAACTCAAACAACCAACATCAGCTTAAAGTTTATAACAAATAAAGTGCCATGAAATGTAGCATTCAAATCAGAGCTCAAACTATTGAAAATCAATAGTTTCGTAATAAACAAACAAAAGCCCTTGTCTTGTTGACACTTCACCTCTGAACACGGCTTGTAAAAGGTGACATTTGACTATGCAGCTAAATGCCATACAGGTAAACAATGAACAGAAGCGAATCAAACTGAAGGTTGAGACGTCAAAAGACTTCACAGTGATGCTTCTAACCTGTTAATTGCTGCAAAACTGTTTTTAATCATAATGTCACATGGGGCAAATCTTTCTTAAATGAGCAACAGTATAGTTTCAGCAAAGAAAATGCTGTATAATGACAGCTGCAAGTCTTGAAGAAGGTTGTATTTAAACCTGCATACCTGCTGATGGTGAGATATCCATCGCAACGCTCAATACTCTGATGAATGCAGCCTAAAGGACACAAGAACGGTATCTGGTAAATATGCAATGCAACCTGAACCTGTCAGGTCTTTAGAGGAAACAAAACTTCCTTAAAACTCTCAACAGATTCTCTCTGCCTATATATGTCCAGTTGTTTCTCTCTATCTCTCTTAAACACACACGCTCCCGAAGCTGCATCCTTTCCAGCCTTGCGGCAACTTCCTGCATCTCCTGACTAATTTTACCCAGCATCCTGACCCATTTCCCAAGGAGCACAAGGAAACCGGCACAGAGGAGCCGATGCAATGATGTCCATATGCATAAACAGGCTGATGCATTCTGACGGCCAGCCCAAACATTACTATGTCAAGATTTCAGCGTGGCCTCAAGCTGGATCATGCACCAGCAATGACTAAACAAGAACAAAGACTGGTCTCTTGAAAAAAGAAATAAAAGGCTATAATTGAACCATAATGCACTTTTATCCATGTACAATGTGTTCTTTCATCCTTCTTATTCTATAAATATATATCTGATAAATTTAATCCATGAAATGGAATTGTAAATGCCAAGTCAAAACAAACGATATACTGCAAACAGAAAGCAGTCAATACAATACACAATATATCTGGCATTTCTTAGATTTCTAAACGAACTTTTTTTCTTTTTAAAGCCTTACAACACATCACAGCATTTGAGGTTTCATTATTTTTATATTCTTTCCTGCTGCCTGGCAAGTTAGTGAGTCAAACTGAAACAAGCCAGACAATATTATAGTGTGGTCGACACATGGGTAACCACAGAAAACTCTGCATACATACATAATATTCACTAAAACTCTAACCGGGTGTAACAGTCCAAACACTTGTTCTCCTCCTTTGAGATGACTGAAGGTTAATGCAAGAAGCAAAAAGACAAGTAAACTACCAAGACAGTAAACTAACATTTTTAGGGTGGATCTGAAGCAATCTCAATAACTCAAAACAAAGACTAGCAATTTAATCTAAAACGCCTTATAGTCCATTATGCTTATTACAGGGATAGGCCTGAGGTTAAGAGTCATGCTGAATGGAATAATAATAACCAAACAACTATTGTTCTTCCAGCTGAAATTAAAACATTTAAGCATTTTTTTGCATCGTAAAAAAAATTGAAGTTCTTCTAAGGAAAAGGGAAGGCTTTAAACAGAAACCTCACTGCACTGAAGGTGCACTCAGCAAGTTTCGGTTCACATTTATCTGGTTTTTATTCATTGTTGGAATAAATAAAAACCAGATATATGTGAACAGAAACTTGATACATTTTCAGATGTCCCTGCATTTATTTTCAATCTCAGCTCTGTTTTTAATGAAATGTAATATTAGTATTAAGTCAACTGTATGACAAGAACAATCATATGTTGTCAACATGGCAGCACCCATAAAGGGGCGACCCACTCCATGTAGAAAAAAAAACAGCTTTTATCTCAAGACTTTATTTCAGAGTTTATCTCAAGTATATGAAAACTTCAACAACATTTCTCAAAAGTGGTGATCATGTCTTAATGTTTAAAACTTTAGACATCACACTGTATTAAGTTTCAAAGATGATTTGTAATGCAGCCACCCTCCTGTATCTGACAAGATAATCCACACCTACAGGAAGTTCAGCCAACTTGTTTAAACACGTCTTGGCCACTGATATAAATGATCTCTCTACATTTTTCTCTGCAAATGTATTGACTGATTAAACGAATTTGATGATTCTGCATATCTTCTGGAGATCATTTGTTCCAAGGCTTGACACTTCTATCTGATACTGATTTAAACTTTCATTTTTGCACTGAGCAGTGAACACCGTCCAGACTGACAGTTCCAACACCTCACCTTAGCAAAGCAAGCTAAAAGTTGCCAAAAAAATTCAGATGAATCACATTGGCTTTGGATGCATATTAAAGTGGTTAAACTTTAGCTTTATGTGTTTAACGATCACTCACTCGCTCTGTTCTTCTAATGTCATCAGCAGACAAACATTCCAAGAATCGAACATTTCACATGAGCAATTCCAAATGAAAGGCTCTAACATTCAATACTAAGAATTTAAAACCGGAAAAAAACGAACATTCCATATTATTAATATCAGTATAATTTGTAATTCAAATATTCTAAAATTCAAACAGACCCAGATGCAGCAACTTTCGCTTCCCACACTTTTTTTAAGTCAAAAGCGTAACTTAATGTATCCATACAAATCACAGCATTACATATTCCAACCTAAAAGCATGTCAGTTCAGATATGAGACATCAGAATTTAAGTCAATGCCCGTTTTGAGCATTGCCCATCTGGCCTGATCCACGCTGCCATGATCCCTTCACATGGACAGATTCCTAAACTTACCCACAGCAATACAATCTTCGCCTCATGTTACAAACATTACATGACAGATCGCGTATGCGCCTGTTCTTACCTTCTCAGCTGTCGTAGGAAAAATATATCCAAGGCCGACTTTAATTTTGTACTATACACAGCTTTAGTTTCCCAACAGCGGTCCCTAATCGCGCGAATGCTCCCTATGCCTCTGCCTCACTCAACTTGTCCGAGACTCGCCGGAAGCCACGCCTTGTTTTGTTTTCCCCGCCCCACGAAGAACGTGATTAGACAAAAGAGAAATGAGTGGCCTTGAAGCTCACCAATCACAAAACACATTCGTATTAGCCCCGCCCATTCGGAGCGTGAACAGGTACGAAGTTCAATGTGGACGACGTGACTGCACTTACTTGTAGAACCAGTTTGCGGACGTCATACACGCAGTGAAGTCAGTAAACGTCAAGTAACTTCGATTAGTACGTTGATAGTATCATAGTGAGAATACAACAAAGTATAAACACAATTAATCTTTGGATAGTGTTTTTCTATTTTGAGCTGTGATGTGTTGAGGTTCCTAAACGGAAATTGCCACAAGATGGCACCATTATGCTGGGACACACAATATCATTATTTGCTGCATACAATTATCTATATAAATAAATAAATAATAGATTTGGTTAATAATAAATAATATTATATATAGAAAACAATATTTTATAGTTTAAATATTTTTACATTTTTAAAAGTGGTTTTAAGTAAAATGTATGTTAACAAGCTTAAGTTTTATTGTTCCTCCAACATTAAAGGGGTCATATGATGCGATTTCAAGACATACCAGCTTCATCACTGTGTCTGTCACGCGACTCTGTTCCCCTTTCGGGCTCTGTCTTTACATTTATTTTGAAAGCTGAAGCTCGTGATTATGGTAAGGGGCGTTACATTTCCTACGAGTGCTTGCGGTGTTCGGCCAATCACAATGCACTGGGTCAGCTGGCCAATCAGAGCAGACTGCGCTTGTCGGAAGGAGGGACTTTGTAGAAAACGAAGCGTTTGAGAGAGGCGGGGCATAGAGAACCTACAATAATGTACAGTATTTGAAAAATAATGTGTTTTTTGAACATTAAAGCATGTCAACATATTCTGTTACACCAAATACACAAAATAATGATCTTTAAAAAAGCATCATATGACCCCTTTAATGTACAAGAATATGACTAAACGTCAATAATGATTACTTTAATGGCTTTGCAATGCAAATGTGATCAAAAAAAGTATGTAAAAGTGCAATCATATGGTGCTGTAAGCATGCCATATTGGTCTGGTTTAATAGCAACACAATGCAACATATGGGGTTTCTGCTCCATCTTTCTATCCACCAAGGGGTCCATGCATTAATAGCATCCTTCTTAGAAATGTTCCTACCTTTTCTTACTGAAGGTTTTCTCTCTAGTGCTTTGTCAGGTGATTTCTTTGGTGGATCAAATGCTGCTTTCATCTGTGACACTTTCACAGACTGTGTTGGATCTAAGGTCAGATCAACTCGGGCCTCAGTTGGCTTGGTCCACTCCTTCATCTTCTTCTGCAACTCAATAGTTTCCTTTATCATATCAGAAACATGTCTTTTCTGTGCACCCTGTGGTGTTTCCATGATGGTTGTTGGGTTGCTTTCTATTGCGTGCTTTTGGTCAAGCTGGCTTGAACGTTTCTCCTCTAACACATGACAATTTGCTTGTGTCGACAGCTTGTTCTGCTCTTTATCTTGTTTCTCGTTAGCTTGCATACTTATTAGGTTGCACATGGAGGAGGAATGTTGCACATCTTGTGCAGCAGATGTGTTTGCTGTGTGTGCTAATGCAGCTCCAGCAGCACAACCATCCCGGACCTGATCGGATACGTCTGTCTGGCTTATAGTGGAATGGGTTGACGCATTTGTAAAAATCTTCAAAAAACATTTTTCTTGAAGTTGAGAAGAACCAGACAGAGTGACTTCTGTTTTCTTGTCCACACTTGGCCTATCATCTATGCGACCTGAAGCTGCAGTATCAAGACCAGCAATGAGCTCAGAGATGGAACCAGTTGCAGATGTTTCCTTGCGCAAGCTGATGGTATTCTGATTAGACTTGCCGACCTGGTCTCTCTCTGAGTTAGCATTAGCGTTTCCATCTAACCTCTGTTGTTTTGTTGCATCTTCTACATCAATCACTGCACTTATAGAAGAGGAACGTTCTGGATCCATCTCATTTGTAGTCTCTGGAAGGGTTTGTATCACTGCCTGTGGACTCATTTCAGCCAGACTTTTCTCTGTGTGTACTTTGGCCTTTGCTACAAGAGGGAGATCCTCTTTTTCATTTTTTTGCATAACTTGAACATCAGATTTACAATGGGGGTTCGAATCTGTAATGTCTTCAGAGAATGTAATACATTTCTCATCTTCATAGCTTTGTAGCCAGGGTTTGTTTTCACCCAGCATAACTACACTGGCAATATTAGATGTCACAAAACAACCCTCTTCCGTTTCTGTTCCATGCAGAGAAAGATCTTTTATCTCAGTTTTTTTTTCATGGGAATGATACGGACCCTTTGAAGCAGATTCCAGATTTTCTCTTTCTTCAGTCCCTCTTATGCCATCTTTATTTTTATGACCTCCAGCGGGTGATCTCCCAAGTGAAGGTTCCTTTGTCCAAGGGCTCTCCAAGTCTGACACATTAAATTGCCTTTCTTTCTGAAGCTCATCCTGTGTGAATTCGCCCGCAGATATTTGTCGATGGCTCTCAGAGTGACCCCAAGGTGACTTGGATGCCACTTCTAAGGTGCTGAGGTCCTCTGGGCTCTGCGCTCTTTCCAGACTCACAGCTTTGCTTTGTAAATCCGCACCTGCCAGAGATGAGCTAGTAAATCTGGTCTTTATGACTTCATCTGTTGGCTGACACCCCGTAACATTTTCTCTGGCTCTGCAGACATATTTCATTGACTGCCCCTGGGTTTCAATGTTCATCACGGAGGAACGTTCAGCATGTGGGATTTCTGGTTCTCTGGCTGAGTAGACATCCTTCAAAGACCACCCTTGGGTTTCGACGTTCTTCGGGGAGGAATGTTCAGCGTTTGGGGTTTCTGTTACAACCTTATGTGGATTCTCTGGCAGCTTCTTCTGGTTTTCTTCTTTGCTGTGCTGAATTGCCTCAGTAGTGTCCTTTGATGTTTCCGCTTGTGAGTTCATCACAAGGCTTGATGTTGTGCGCTTGTTAATCAGCCTCTTGTTTTGCGATTCAGTCATGCTTGTCTTCAACATGACGTTTTCGGTAATGACTAAAGCTTGGTTTTGAACCGTGAAGTGAACGTTGGTGTTGGCATCCCCACCACATGGTTTTGAAATGTCCTTCCTTTCCAGAATCTCCAAGGTAGGCCCTGTATTCTTTAGACTAATATCACAGGCAGCTTCAAAATCGAGTTTTCTGACCTCTTCCTGACTCTTTAGCTTGTCGTCATCTCCACAGACAGACTTCATTTCGTTCTTTACATATGAAGCACGCTTTTTACTCCTGTTTTCTCCTTTGCGACGGCTTTCAACTTTGTCTTTACCAGGAAGGTCACACCTAAGGTTGTCCTGATGGTCTTCTAGTGTACTCTCCAAGTCTTTTCTGTCGTGGTTTGGTTCTCCAGCCTCCCATGTGCCTTGCGTGCAGCTGTCAGACTGTGTGATTCCATTCAGCTGCTGTGGAGCCAGCGGTTCAGCCCTGTCTTCGTTGCTACTCTTTCTTCCTCCCTCTTTCTCGCCATCTCCTCCCTCCACAACCCCCCCATCCGTGGGAGCGCACACCTTATCATGAGAATCCAAACCATACACTGGTGTAGGTGATGGTGACTCCCTGCCTGGGCCTCCATCCAATCTTCCTCCGGCTGTGTTCTCCTCATCTGTCCAGACACCATGAGTTTCAATGGTTAGATTTCCTTCCTCTTTGACCCCCCCAGGGTCTGGGCTTGGTCCCTTTTCCTCTGGTCCTGCAGAGCTGTTGTCCTGCCCTAGCTCCCCCTCCTTGCCTTGGTTTTGTCCCATTCTGTAGAAAAAAAGTGAGAGAGATGTTATTGACAGTGTATTGTTGTGGAGCACAAGATGTTGATAATGGCATGACTCTGGCATGCAGGTTGTGCCAGTGTTTATCTAAAATTATTGCACACTTTCACTCCCCTGTACACAGTTTGATGCTCACTAACTGTCTTTTTCACTTTTCTCTCTCTACTTGTCATTTCGGATGAGCTAATTCTTATAATCATAGTCTAACCTGACTTGTTCTGTTTGCTTAGCTGATCATTTGCTCTTGTCATCTTTCTTTATGGCAAGTCTCTTTGTTGCTGGTATTAACTAAAAGCTCAAAGTGGGGGTTGACAGGGTTATTATAGTTAAATAAAACTAACAATAAAACTCAAGACATTTTTATTACTTTAAATAAAATAAACGTTAACTGAAACAAAATGTAAAAAACCTTAAAGTTATTTTATTTTAGCTAGTTGCCAAAGCAACATTTGTCATTTTCATATAATTTAAGTTGATGTACTAAAATATAAAATTAAAACTGAAATAAAAATGTATATACTAATTTAAAAAATGAATAAAATGACAAAAACACACAACGAAATAAAAAATACGTAATTAAAAGTTTTAATTAATTTAAAACCTTAATTAAGATTAAAATGAAAATGGAAAACACAAAATTAAAAACAATTTCAAATTGTTATAGTAGAAAAGCGATACTAAAATAACACTGGTGGATAAAGTACATATATCCTGTACTTGAATTAAAATACAGATGCCCTGCTGAAATATTATAATATATAAACAGAAAAAGCACTCCTTTGTCATTTTCACTTGAGTAAAAGTATAAACGTTTTACTTTTAAATGTACTTATGTATTAAGAGTATTGATCTATAAGTTGATTATTTTCTTGTGTTACATTCCATAATATGGAAGCCTATTTCCAAGAAGAAAAAAAGAAAAAATCATGCTTTTGTTCATCATAATCACAATATACAAATTCATAATTATGACTTAAAAAGATAACATTATGAGATACTCTGTAGTTATGAGACAAAAAGTAAAAATGATGACAAAGTCATAATAATTATAACATTGAAAGTCGTAATTATTATATAAAAAGTCAACATTATGACATAAGAAGTCAACCATTCTTTTCATAATTATGATTTACCAAAGTTCTGTGCTTAAGGTTAGAGCTCAGTATGACATTATGGATTTGAGGAGGCAACACACTTAAGCTTTGAAGATCTTTTTATTGCTTTGAGAAAAAAAAAAGATCATATTTCTCTTGTTAAAGAGACTTGCTCCAACTGGATCACTGAATCAGTTAGATGTTACAGCTATTGGATCAGTCAAATTCACAAATGAATCATTCAGTGCAGTTTATGAATCACATCGAAAATCAGTGCAAAAGATTGATTTATTCACAAATCGGATCACATTTTTAAAGTAATAAAATACTCGAGTACAACAACAAAACACCGGTTACTGTTCACCACTGTACAAAACTATAACCAAATGAAACAGCAGCAATGTGTTTTACTTGAACCTCGACTTCAGTGGGAACAGTGTTTCTTTCCTCAGTGTCTTGTGACTACAGCATATCTGAGCAGCCATCGACTGTTCATGCTTGTCTCGTTACATGAACTGTACCGTCAGCAAGAACACCAGGAATTAGAGTCACAAGATTTTGCAGGAGATTTCTGAAGCACTGTCAATCATAGTCTTCACAGAATCTACAATCTCGTGTTCTGTCACACATTATTTGAAGGGCATTTGGGCTCATGAAAGCCACTGATGAAATCTTTCCTTCGCACTCTCTATTTCCTGTCTGCACTTCTACCAAAAAAGAAAAAGAAAATCCTCTTCTCATCTGTCAATGCCTTCTCTCTCTAACCCAAAAGCAGTGTGAACATAGAGGAGAAACTGTATTTTTCTGTCATGATTACTGCATTAATTATTGCTAGTTCATATGTCATTAACTAATAATTCTGCCTTTGTTAGGGCCAAATACTATTAGTGATATTTTGTCTCAGAATTTGGTTGAAGTTTGTGATTTCACAGCCATTTGATATATATTTGAAAGACACTGATACTTTTTTTTAGCAAGGACACAATAAAACGAAAGTGACAACAAAGACATTTATATTGTTACAAACAATTTTTGTTTAGAATAAATGCCGTTCTTTTGAACTTTCTATTCATCAATGAATCCTGAAAAAAAAGGTTTCTCCAAAAATATTACACTGCACAATTGTTTAAAAATATTACCAGTTTTAAAATGTTTTAAAGCAGAAATAAGTTATTTAAAACTTATTTTAAATTTTTAATGTATTTTTGATCATATAAATGCAGACTTGGTGAGCATAAGAGACTTTCAAAAACTTTTTTCAAACTTTTGAACAGTTGTGTATGTAAAATGTTTTAGGGCTGTAAAGAAAGAAAGAAAGAAAAGGAAAGAAAGAAAGATGGTTACAGTAACAGGCTTATTTTCTCTGTAAAAAATTCTAAATATATAAAATATGTTACAAATTTGCAATTGTGAGAAGTGAAACAACATTAATCTAAATCATAAAATTTATCTTTTATTTTAAGAATGTATCTTGCATTTCATAAAACTATTGAATCTATTAAATACTCTTACTAACTTAAGCACCCTGTTCTTTTATGATTCATTAGAACATACATGGCATACGTCACTTTCTGAGAAATATCTGTTTAAATTTTAAGTGCAGCTAGAATTTTTAATCAGTCTCAATGTAATATGTAGAATATATGCATACAGGAGTAATGCAGAAGGCCTCTACTTCAGCAAATGTAGAAAACACATAAAAAATATAAGTCTCTAAAGTGACAATGTGTTTCCTGTTCATCTGCTTTGACAGCTTGCACTAACACATTTACAGGAACGCACACGCAGAACTGGAGGCTTCCATGTCATATGATAGAGTTCAGCAAAGTTGAAACGTGGCTACACAGTGACATTTTCAATCCTGTCCTGGGACAGACTAGAATAGACGATTCATTTGCTCATATTACATTGTCTCATAGCTCAATATTAAACCCTTTTTAAAAAAGAAAATCTTTTTAAGATCTCTGGTTTACATATCATACAGTTATTGTTAAACGGAATAGTAGCATTAATCATTTATCAGACTTTTTAACAGTTTCTCACAAATGGACAATTCTCTGCAAAGTGTGTGTGGACACCGACAGGATACCCCATGCAAGACCATCCCATCCTAAACCTCCACAACAGCACCATTGTGCTGCATCCGTCACCCTGACACTTAAGGCAAGTCACTTGATTTTCTTGTGGCTCACTGCCTCTCCCATGTATGCAGAATCCAAATAACATGAACAACAACTATATGAAACATCTCTCCACTGTCTCAGAAAGTTCTTTGTATTGAACAACAAGTGTTTAAATCCAAATCTGAGCAATCGTGGGTCCTACTCAGTGGACGGCACACCATGGAATCAACCAAGGTAACAATTTGTCTCAAGTAAAGAAGTGGATACTCACCAATACTCCTGTGACTGCACCGTAACTCCAGGACAAGACCACTCTTTGTTGAATGGATGGATGTACTGGCTGAGTTCTGCTGGTAAATGGGCTTTTATTACTCTCTTGTGATGTCACAGTCACATTTGCCTAATGCAGTAAGTTAGTCCTCTCCCTGTATAAGCACAACAACTTTCAGATTCAGCAATGAGGTTTAAAGGATAGTTCACCCAAAAATTAAATTTTTGCCTTCATTTGTTCATCTTGTATGATCTGTTTTACTGAAGAACACAAAAGGAGATGTTTAGCAGAATATTTACACTGCTATTTCCCATACCATAAAAGTGGATGGAGACCAGGGAGTCCAAAAATGAGAAAAAAGCATCATAAAATGACTTTATGAGAGTCATTGTTCATGCCACACTCTTTCTTGGCATTTATGGTTACATGAAGAACCTTCAACATTTATTAAACCTTTCCCTTTCACAAAAGGTTCCTTAGATTTTTTAAATGTTCTTCACATTAAGAAAAAATGGTTCTTAAGAATTCACGGTTAAAAATAAAGGTTCTTTATTGGCATTGATGGTTCCATGAACAACCTTTAACATCCATGGAACTTTTCCAAGTTTCTTTACATAAAAAAAAGGTTCTTCAATGGCCTTGTTGTGAAAACCCACCTTTATTTTAAGAGTGGTTCTTTGAGGAACCAAAAATGGTTCTTCTGTCTATGGTAGATACTAGAACTGGAATATACTAGATACTAGAAAAGGTAGTCTCCTCACAACTATGTTCTTTCTTAGAGAATAGTGGTATTTGTGAGGATTTCCAGTCAGGATTTAGACCGTATCATAGTGCAGAGGCTGCTCTCATCGGAGTTACAAATGACCTGCTCTTATCATCCGATCGTGGTTGTATCTCTCTATTAGTGCGACTGGATCTTACCGCTACATTCGACACTATCGACCACAACATTCTTTTGAATAGACTAGAAAATTATGTTGGCATTAGTGTAATTGCATTGGCATGATTTAAATCATGCTTACTGTATCTGACCGTCATCAATTCGTAGCAGTGAATGAAGAAGTATCATATCGTTCACAAGTGCAGTATGTAGTACCACTAGGCTCAGTACTAGGACCATTGCTTTTCACGCTTTACATGCTATCCTTGGGAGGTAACATCAGGAAACATGGTGTTAGCTTTCACTGTTATGCTGATGATACTCAGCTCTATATTTCTTTGCGGCCCGATTAAACATACCAATTCGCAAAACTAACAGAGTGCATAGCTGATATGAAAAACTGGATGACTTGTAATTTCCTACTGCTAAATTCTGAAAAAACAGAGGTGTTAATTATCGGACCAAAAACCTCTACATGTCATAATCTAGAACACTATCTAACACTTGATGGCTGTGCTGTCAATTATTAGCCCAGTTCTCTCAACACTGCACTGGCTCCCTATTAAACATTGTATACATTTTAAAATCTTGCTAATTACTTATAAAGCTCTAAATGGTTTAGCTTCTCAGTACTTGAGTGAGCTCTTATCGCATTATAGTTCTCCACGTCCGCTGCGATCTCAAAACACTGGCCAATTGAAAATACCTAGAATATCAAAATCAACTGCGGGCAGCAGATCATTTTCCTATTTAGCGCCCAAACTCTGGCAAAATCTACCTAGCATTGTTCGGGAGGCAGGCACACTCTGTCAGTTTAAATCTAGATTAAACACCCATCTCTTTAACCTGGCATACACATAACACACAATAATTTTTCTATAATTCAAATCCATTAAAGAATTGTTAGGCTGCATTACTTAGGTCAACAAGACCTTGTCGGCCATGTGCACAAGACCATGAGAACCAGAAGAGTCCTCTGATCAATCTGATGTGCGTTGCAGCCTGGAATTAAACCACACCATGCTGGCTTCGTCTGACCAGAGAAGAACTGGCCCCCTGACTGAGCCTGGTTTCTCCCAATGTTTTTTTTCTCCATTTCTGTCACTGATGGAGTTTTGGTTCCTTGCCACTGTTACCTTTGGCTTGCTTAGTTGGGGACACAATTTCTGGCAACATTGTTGACTTTACTGTACAGACACTATTGGAAGAGAACTAAACTGAGCTGGACAATGACATCACTGAATCAACAATGAACTGACTTTAACTGATAAACTGTTTTCTATTGTCCTCTTGCATTATCAGCACACGTTTTTCCTGTTTAACACTGTAAAGCTGCTTTGACACAATCTGTATTGTATAAAGTGCTGTATATATAAAGGCGACTTGACTTTACTACGGCATCGCTGTAGAAACACCCTTTTGGAACCTTTATTTTTTGATGTCATTGAAGTTTGTGTGTTTTTAATAACATTGACATATGTCATGAATGAGATTTGACAGCCATTTCAAAGACTTTCAGAGAATAACTTTAGTTTGGGTCCATTTCTCACACAAGATCATGTGACTTAAATAGAATTAAAATAGTTTTAATAGGTGTTTGTAATTTTTGGAGTTTGACAACCCTCAATATGGAAAATGTCAACATGAACATCAATTTCATTCATTTTATTTTCCACGAAAAAGAAAGACAGGTTTGAAACAAAATGAGGCTGAGAAAATGACGACAAATGTTTCATTTTCTGGTGAACTGTGCCTAATAAAACATCTGACTTAATAGTATTAATAATAACACATCTGTCCCAGTCCTAAGGCCTTCAGAATATTCTTTGTCAAAGCAAAGGTTTTAAATTGCTCTGGGACTTTATTTTTTGAGCTGATGAAAACCAACGCTCATTCCACCAAGGGTGCAATGATACAAAGTAGTAGTGAGACTGTCTTGGGGCTCTTTGCTTCTCTCAAAATAGCAATAACCATAAAGATAACTACAACACTGGAGCTCTTGTGTAGACTGAGACACTGATAGTCATGGTAACAGAGATACAGGAAGTGAGGAGAGCATGGTATCAGTATGGTACCACCCTATCAGTATTACAGCCGTGTACCAGTCTCCACGGTCAAAGTTTATTGAAAGTTTCCTGATATGATTCACAAGTTAGGGGGTAGTAGAGATCCTGCAGAGATACTGACTAAATGTTTGCCTGAAAAAAAGCTGCAAAAACAAAGGAACAAAGCCTTATAAATCTCCCTGTTATGCGCCTGGTCGCTATGGCAACGATCATAACAGGACGCTCTCGTTCTCTCTCAGATAATAATAAAGGAGAAATTACTTCAGCACACAGTTCACCAGACACTGAGGTCGAAGAGAGAAAACAGGCCACACAGAATTAGAATTGCAGGCTGCTGTGGAAGAACCAGGTGACTATTAAGGTATTTTACAGACCTTAGAAAGTATTTGGGCACTTAAACCACTTAAAAAAATGTAAGAATGACACTGCATTATATAACAAAATGTCAAACCAAGTGGCAATTATTGTTAAAAAAATAAACATTTTTTTATTTTTAAATACATATAATACACATACACACACATAAATATAGTATGAAGTCAGTAAGAACTGTTGAAGAAATTAATACTTGTATTCAGCCAGGATGCATTAAATTGGACAAAATTGACAGTGAAGACATTTATAATGTTCCAAAAGATTTCTATATCAAATTATGTTCTTTTGAATTTTCTATTAATCAAATACTCCTAAAAATATTTTAATATTAATATTTTATTTCTGCAAAAATATTAATATTAATATTTCTTAAGTGCCAAATCAACATATAACTTTTTTTTTTAACAAACATTTTAATCAAAACATATATAAAAAAAAGTTTGTTCAGTTTAAATTGATAAAACAACAGATATATTACAATTAACACAACAATTATTAATATATTATAGCATTTAGGGACTTTCTGTGTTCAAGTTCAAGTGCTGCTTTTGCAGTTGTGGCTCCTAGGCTGTGGAATGCACTTCCAGTTGGTGTGAAATCCTCCCCCACATTGGACACATTTAAATCTAGATTGAAGACTAATTTATTCTCTTTAGCCTATGGTGTTGCCCGAGTTACATATGGGGGTTTTCAGTTGTTTATGGCTTATCTGCATGTTTTTATTTTTATCTTGCCAAAAGCTGTTTTCAGTTGCACAGCACTTTGGTACAACACTTTTTGTTATAAATAAACGTGAACTTGAACTTGAACACTTTCTGTGTCCAAAAATGTTAGTGAAAAACATCTAAATCAATATTTGTTTGCATAAAATATCTAATGAAATGACATTCAGACATTTTTACATGTGACAAAAGTGTAAAAATACTTTGTCCACTGCATCACTTACTTTCTGTGTCAATAACTATGGAACACAAAATACAATCAAAATGATGCATCTCTATCCTCAGATCATAAATGACAACAAATGTGTATTTTCTGCTTCCTCACCAATCTGTTCACTGTCACAACTTTATTTCTGCCCCCAGGTTTTTTTCCTTAACAAAAAAAAAAAACAAGTCATGAAGAACCAGCTATATTTCATCTCTGTTAACAAGAAAATGAAATGCAATGACCGATATTAATCTGAGTAGATCAGATGGTCATTAAATCACCCTGTCTTTCCTACAGCCTCAAAGCCTGCAGTAAAACCAATGACGTCACGTGTGCAGGGAGGTTTAGCCTGTAGTTGCATAACTGCACAGCCATGCCAGAATATACTGACAGAGCACAGATGGCACCCTATGATGTCAGAATACTATACCAAAAAGCCCTTAACCAATCAAAACCGAGTACTTTAAAGTACATTGCCAGTAAATGTAGCAAACATGACAAGAAAAACAAAGATTGAAAGAAAACGTTTATTCCCATAATAAACACATACAGTACATCATCTCAACAAAATGTACAAAGTGCAATATGCATTGAAACTACAGCAAATCTGCAGACAAAATTACTGCATACTTAATAGCGATAACAATGGTGACAGAATGAGGAGCGAGCACTCCCTATTTTGTGAGCCTACGCAATTTAACAGCATTGCTAATTCACGAAAAAGAGGCTCAATATCCAACTACAGGAAAGTCAATGGATGATTTGGGAACAGACCAGTGTAACATTCTGAAAAAAAAAAGCCACTATCACAATCTCTCCCAAGCAAACAGCTTGAATCTACAGCGATTTTAATATTGATCCTCAATGCAGAACTTTGGTTATCACTTCATACTTGAATAGCATAAAATCTTTCCTCGCTCCTTTGGAAAAGGAAAACCCTCTAAAACTTGGCAACTCTAACAGCTTTCATGAGTTTGCAATGTCTTCCTCGTTAATTAAAAGGAAATAATGCCAAGTATCAATGATACGTTTCTATTTTCTCTATTACAACAATAAAATTTAGGAGTGTAGAAGAAGAAAATGTCTGCCAGTTTTCAAATGTGCCCATGTAACCCAATGGCCTCTGCCTTAACTGGCAACATTATCAAATGGGAGTCACCACAGAACACTGCCTCTAGTGCTTCTGGGTAAGGCACTTGATGTTGATGACACAAGACAATGCAGGCAACCAATAACATTTAATCTGTAATCTCTGACTCAGGTTTGACCTCAATATGGCATCAGACACAAAATGACAAAGACTTCGGCGAGAGGAGGAGGGTTTGGGGCACATTTATGAAGGATGCAAGTAACTGTTCATGACACGAAACAGCTTTCTGGCTTATTTCTCCTCTCAGTTTTTATATTCAGGGCCCAGAAGGAAGATTAAATAGTGTTGATACTCATTCAATCAACCAAAATCATTCAGGCAACCATCTACTATAGGATAGGGGAACTGATTCAAGTTGCCTTTCAGATGAAAGTACCATGAACTCCCACAAATTCTGTTATATGACCAACAAACATATTTAAATACGGTGTATTGCTGTGTGTGTGTAGAGGTGGAGACGGTGTGTATACTATGAGCCTGCTCATGTTTTTAACATTAAAGTGCACACACGTTCTCTGAAAGGGTTTTGTGTTCAAAATAGTTCACAGTAATGGTATAGCCGCTGTGCAAGGCAACGCTCACTCGCACACACACTCACAAACTTCACATTTCCGTTGTTCAAACTCAATGTGGTAGCATAGATACGTGCACAAAATCCATTAAAAAAAAATATTGGAAAAGTATGCTGCATAATAAACCTCAAGTACTTCAACTCAAGCTTTAATTGGCCAACTGATTGGTAAATAAAGGCCTACTGACACTTGGACATGAACAAATGTCATGAAACAGCTGGATTGATGCATTTATCAAAGCTTTTGTGATCACATAAACTGGTATGGCAAGTGTCAAAGAAACAAACACACGAAGGAAAATCTCACTGTCAAGAACATGTCTGGGACATTTTTCAACCCGAATATCAAATAAAATCTATAAAATCTAAATTAAGAAATAATATTTTGCTTAAAATGATTCCTTTTTTCCCCCACTTGTTTTTCAATTTAAATAATGTCACTTCTTTATACAATATTGAAAAATTATATATTATTGATTTATTTATAAATTCGAAATTTTGTTGTATGGCTTTTATTTTATACCAATTTAAAAACGTTTGTATTATTGTACTACAGTATTTTTATAACACTGCATTAATCAGAATCTAAAGGGAATCATCATTGTGAGTGATGGGAATTTAAAAAAATACAAGTAAAACATTTTTAAAATGGTAATGATATATAATACAAAATATAATTTCTTATATTTCTCGTTTGATTTTGGGGCAAAATGTAACCTGGACATGCTTTTATGAGATTTTCCCATAGAGATACACACACTCAGAGGTGAACAGCTGTTGAAACCATGACATATCTTTGACTTGTGTTGTATTATCTTGTTTCAGAGCATTCTTCAGTTCTACTTCTGTATAGATTTGGTTCAAAAGGCCAATCTACCTTACTTTGATTTCATTATGGAAAACTGACAGCAAGTACAAACAGGACAATGCGTTAGAACAGGAGACATGTAACAAATAACAGTCGTTCCTTAACTGGGTAAATGACTGATTTGTATCACATTTGGAAACATGGAGCAGCTGCTCTGCTAGAGAAACTACAGTGGAGGAGCTCCCGTTGATATAAAATCTTTACAAGTACATGTATGTGCTATTAGAGACTGTAACAGTAATAGTGACCCAAACATTACCCAAAAGCCCTACTGCTATTTTGACAGCAACATGGACAGTCACATTCATAAGAATAGCAACTGCATGTATGAACGTTTCAGCGGAAGGAGAACAGCAGCTTGAAGTCGCCTCTGATTTTCTTTATCCTTCAAAATGATTGTCTTTCATCACCCTCATCAAGTATCCGAAAGAAGAATCCCAAACAGATCTCCTCTTTCCCAATGAGTCTCCACACAGTCTGCGCTGTGTGCAAACACTGAAGTGCTGCCAGTCACCCTGTTTCGTTATCTGCCTGGCTTATGAACAGTACTGTATTGGTATGAGGTATTAGTTTGAAACCTGTGAGTGAATCATCAGTGCTCTGTGAATGATAAAGTCAATCAGCACTCAAAGAACTTTCCTAATCACTGCAAAGAGTCCATTTCCTTTTACCATCCAGCCAGGAAGCGAGAACACAGCAGGGTGTATGATTTGAAAACCCTTTTCAAATGTGTGACCATGTCCGAAAGAATCTGTGACTCAAACAGGGCCACAAATAAGGTGATTTATGGTGTGATAAATGGGTGGGCTGATGGAAACATTACACAATGGTCTATTTTGATGCTTTCAAGTAATGGCCTCTGGGATGCCGAGTGCTTATTTTGCTTCAGAACAGCAGAGAGGAAGTGAAGTGAAAACCTCATGAACTGTTCATCAGTCAGTGCAATACACATCCATTTGGGTTCCATGCAACGAAAGCCTGTCCAGAAGATTCTGGATTCATTGAATATTATGTTTATATTCATAACAGAAAGCAATTATTTTGTAGAATACACTCTTGTTGCAGAACTACAGGTAAAGATGAATCACTTGCTGTCAGCTCTTGGACTTTTCAGGTCCTGCTTCAGCTTGGTTGAAGGCCTCCATGTTTGTGGAGGTTGAGGAGGTGGAAGAGGGCCCAGGTCTGGCCCATTCTGGGCTGAGTGAATGCTCGGGTTCTGGGGACAAAGAGAGCATGAGAAGGGTCCCTGCATCAGAGGAACACGCCGAGCACAAGTCTTCAGACGAGAAGGTTAGGCTGCCCAGTTTGGCGAGTGAGTTGGAGCGCTTCAGTCGAGAAGGTACAGTAAGTCCTGCAAGTCGCATCCGGGCTTCGATTTCTTGCGTACGTTGACGCACAAGGCCCGGTTTGCCACGGACGCTGCGGAGGCTGTCGCTGCTGGAGCTGCGGGTGAGCGTGGAGCCATGCGGGGACGAGACTGGCGTCAAACCACCCGAGCCGAGGACCGCTAACAAGGCCTCGTTCGTCAGTGGCACCGCCACTTCGGTAGTAAAATCTGCCCGTGTTCCGATGGGCCTGTCGAGAGGGCCGGTTGAATCACTGGAATTGTTCTTTGCATCCTCGGATTTGATTGAACCAGTTCCCCGTTGCTCATTTGCACGTGCACGCTCCTGAAAGAGACCGGAAAGTTTTTCCAAGCGCTCTTTTCGGCGGCGAACAAGTCCGGAGCGTTGCAGCTGTACCAGAGTCTCTTGTTGTTGTGGAGAACAAGACACCTCTGCCTTATCCAAACCCTTTATCTCTCTTTCGTTCCTGAGTAGAGCAGAGGAACCCTGTGCATCAATCTCTTTCTGTTCAGAATCTCCTTCCCCTTTGGCTTCAAACAGTAGTGTCCGGTTATCAGTTTCCTGGTCAAGAGATTTGCTTTCTGGCTTATCTTTATGCCCTAAGGACATTGCATTGGCATCAAGGCACGGATCTGAGGCAAGTTTGCCATTCTTGGCTGTGACGGACAAGTTGGCACAGGGTGGTGTCTGAATTGAGATACTGGGCACACTGCTGAGGGGTAAAGGGGCAAGGCCTCGTCTGTTAGCCTCCAACACAGCAGTCTGGGTGGGCTTGGAAGCGAATGACGAACCAGGAGCAAGCCTCGGCTTAGCATGCTGCTTCAGATGGGCACTTTCCTGAAAAAGAAAAGACAAGGAAAAACAATGTAACAGAAATAATATGTAGTGGTGCCGTGATAGAATCATGTGATATACTCACAGTGAGATTTTGTTGCGTTCTGAGGTGGTTGTTGTTGTTGGAGTTCTCGTTGCACAGATGGTTCAGGCTTGCGAGATCAATCCCTGTTTCATTCGACAACTCCTCACTATCTTGCCGTCCTCTGTCATTCCCATCTCCTCTCTTCACTCCCTCTGTTAATGCCTCCATTTCAGCTTGCTCTTTCTGAGCCTCCTCCTCATCCTCTTCTTCCACCGTGCTGAACTCCAACCGTAGACGTAACTCCTCCAGAGGCTCCGCACCTCGAGAACAGGTCTGAGCAGCTGTGCCCTCTCCTGGAACACCGAAGTGTGGTAAAGGAAGGCCTTCGCACCCCTCAAAGGTTTCATCATCAAGAAGCGCATCTTGCTCCACATCTGCAACCTCGATGTAGACACGATCTACATCCACCAGAGGCGGTGCATGGATCGGCGTGGAAGGTTCACTGTCGAGGGCTGAGTCTGACAGGCGACGGAAGTAGTAGTGGTAGTTTTGCGGGTGGCTGGGGTCCAGATCTAAGCTAATTGGAGAGGAGTGGGTGGTAGGCTCACGGCATACGGTGA